GTCATGTTCTTGAAGCTAACGTCTCGTAGGATACCGGCATTGTTGAGTAGGATATCGATTCGGCCGAAAGCCTTAATGGCGGTCTCGATGATCTTCTCGCCATTCTCGACGCTGTCGTAGTTAGCCACGGCTTGACCACCGGCGGCTTTGATTTCATCTACGACTACATCGGCAGCCTAATGGTTGTAAAAAAGAACACGTTAGCGGATGCGTTTGATATTTGGCGTAATTGAAATATGATTGAGACTTCTATTTACCTTTGTTGAGTTGCCATCACCCTTAAATGAGCCTCCAAGGTCATTAACAACGACCTTGGCTCCTCTTGATGCGAAGAAAGTAGCATATGTCTTGCCCAAGCCACCACCAGCGCCGGTGACGACTACGACTTGGTCGTCAAAGCGCAATTCGCTTGCCATGGTGTCGTGTTTCGAAGCTCTGAAAAAATAGGGAATTAGAAGTTGATTAACTAAAGGGAATAACTTTCGATGGTAGATAATACAGATGTTTAGTTGGAGATGGCTTCTAATACACGATTGGCATGAGAGCAGAAATGAATGATAGAAAAAGCTGGCTGAATTACGGGATGATAGGTCCAAGTTCCTGATAATAAAGAGCTGGTCAATCAATGTGCCGCATTTGAACTCCGGCTATTCAGCCGAGGCAGCTTTCGCATGAGCTGCCAGGGAATCAGGAATGCCGAGGGGCCCCAGATTGACCCACTTCTTCAAAGGACCAGGCAATAGCAAGCTAACTATACTAAATTAGGTATAACTCCTCGGATTTAGCACCTATTTCTTACCCCATACTTATCCCTCTCGTGCCTTCTTTACAAGACCGTTCACATGTCGACAAACTCGAGATTCTGATATGCTTACGAACCTTGTATGAAGTCATATGTACGTTGTATGTATTGCGCCTCCTGTGTCACTATCACGTGTGCTAATATGTCTATGTCAGGTATTCTATACTATTAGGCCTAAGATTCTAGAATTACCTAAGGTAGGCAATTAGCCGTATTAGTTTAGGTACCTAGTTAACACAACATGAAGAGCCGAAGTTTTGTATTGCCGCTTTGCGGGAGATAATAGATTAGAACTTTAAACCTATCAAGCAATTCTTTTTAAAAGACTTCCTTCTGATCGGTTATGGCATTCAAATTCTATAAATCTACTTCTAAGCAGACAAATATATACTTGTATAGTAATTGAGGGTCTAGTTAAATGCATCCAAATAGTCTATTAGTTCCAGCCATCAACCATTAACCATTAACCATTAACCATTAACCATTAACCATCCGAGCCGCTGAACCAAAACAAACTCCCCCGCATTTCCCCATCCCCACAAAGTTAGTTGATACTAATTACCTACACTTGCTCTATGTACAATGTTCTATCTATGCACCCCTAAAACGTGCCGTATGGAAATCTCATGCATGTAATCCCGTTGGGGTAAATAAGCGTATAAGCGTCAAACGCCCGAATAACCGAACATACAGTATCTACAGCCGATCACAAGCACGGATGCAATAAGAGGTCTGCCAAAATGTCTACACCGGAGATAATCGACGACAAGAGCCCCATATGCATACCATTTATACTCGAACGATATAAGCAATACAGCACCTCTAACACTACTCGGCCCTTTATCGTCGGCCTAAACGGCGTACAAGGCGCCGGGAAGACGACTCTGGTAAAGGCCCTTGCTTCGAGGCTACAGAATGACGAAGGCCTACAAACATTGGTTTGCAGCATTGATGATTTCTACCTGCGACATGAAGATCAAAAGGCACTGGCAGAGTCTCACCCGGACAATTTGTTAGTCCAGGTTCGAGGCGAGCCAGGTACGACAACTTGCACCCAAAATCTTAAGTCAGAAGGATATCTATTCTTATTTGATTCTAATGCTACGGCTATGTAGGTACACATGACATGGACTTAGCTCGAAATTTCTTCACGGCTTTATGTGAGGGTCAGCCGGTTAAGATTCCTCAATATGACAAGTCGGCCTATTCGGGCCAAGGCGACAGGGTCCCGGAATCGCAATGGGAGACGATCAACGGCCCGGGTCAACCCAAGATTCAGGTGGTCATCTTCGAGGGCTGGTGTGTTGGCTTTCGGCATTTGAGTCCTGTGGAGGTGTCACTCAAGTGGATTTCGCCAAGCAGGACGCTACACCGACACCCTTTAGAACACCTGGACTTCGTCAATGAGCGCCTCCGGGACTACGATGTCATCACAGACATGTTCAATGCATTCATCCACATTGACGCCGAAGATATCGAATGGGTGTACGACTGGAGGTTAGAGCAGGAGGCCATGTTGCGGAGGGAGAGAGGGGCAGGTATGACAAACGAGCAGGTTGTTAAGTTCGTCGATGCCTATTATCCCGCGTACGAGCTTTTTTCCGACAAGCTGAGAAATGGGCTGTTCGCCGATAAACCCAGATGTCAGTTGAGATTAATTGTCGGTAAAGACAGAAAAGTCAAACAGACGGTCATCGTTTGATACGCGAGTAAGCGGGTATCTTACCAAGTAGCCTCACTTAATGTGAAAAGGCCCAATAGCATCATTTGTTGCCGTACATAGAGCACCGGATTGAAAGCACCAACACCATAGCTCTAGCCCATGTTATAATAACAGCAACCTCATAGCCCAAGCTAACCCACAGCCGTATATCCTTCCCTTTAGAATGAGCTCGTAAAAATCCGTCGGCGGCAAGCTATCAGTCACGGAGAGCCTGCGGTACCGCGTACTTGCTTACTTGATTCAATCAAACTCCTTTCCGTTCATCATGCCCTCGCCTTCGTTTTTGAGTTCGGCGAGAGTGCTGTCAATTGTTCGGATCTTACTCCTAACAGCCTCGTCCCGGTCGGCAATCTCGTTTTCAAAGTCTTGTATTACCGTTCGCTTCGCTTGGCGGGCTTCTCTAAACCGTTGCATAACCTCACCAAATCTTTCAAGGAACCAATCCCCCGATATCTCCCAGTCTTTAACGGGCATCTTAGAAAAGAACTCCATTTGGCTTTCCTGGTCCTTGTCAAAAAAGTGATCAAGTTTTTCTGGTAATGTGCCTCGGGGTGGTCCTATCGCCGACTGGGCCTCTGCTTGGGCTGGGTCAAAATCGAATACTTCATCCTTAAGTTCGGAATAATCCATTGCTGCCAGAGCCCCATCATCGTAGTCAAGCTCGTATTGACGCTTCTTTGGATTAGAAACACGCTTCTCTATCGATGAGCGAGGCATCGCGCTCTCGTGCAATCCTAGCCCGCCCTTATTACCACCCTTGATAAAAAGTTGTCGATTGAGTTGAGGCTTAGGTTTCGCGACTAGCTTAGGCGCAGGCGCAGGCGGAGCAACGCTCTCGCGATCTGACTCGTCCGGATGGCTAACCATAGGTGTATCGGTGTCAGCAAAAATAGTCGAGCGGCGGTGTTGGTGTTCTGGTAATGTCTTCACTCTTAAGTGTACGGAACGTTCAGATCTTGCATCGTCATCTAAATCATTATCAGGGATTGGGTAGGCCTCACGTGGAGGCGAAGATACGATATTTTCTTGAGGAAATGCAGCCCTTTCGGAGAAGGAACCACGGCGGTTATTACGTAAAGCTAACGCTTTAGGATGATGAAGCCGTTTAGCAGAAGGGGTCTTTTCGGGGCTCGTCTGATATGGGCTATCTTCTGACTCTTGGTCAAGTTCCGGAGATGATACTCCCTTCAGGTGGCCACGGTGATTCCTAGCATCCGGTGTCGAAGCACTTCTAGTAAGAGGACCACCTACTACATCTATGATTCCGTTAGGTCCAATAACGAAAGGGGCATGTTGATCCGGCATATTAGCTTCGTCCTTGGCAGGGGGGCGTGGGCGTGGGGTATTCCCTCTCTGTTGGTAAGTAATAGGCGCCCGAAAAGGCATCCGATACATAGAGGTGCCTGCCGCGTTTGCGTCAACGTTGCTAGCGGTGTCACTAAACATGGAGCCATCTACCGTCGAACCCTCCCAGAAAGGCGCTGGTCGCCGCGAAGATTGAATAGGCTCGGAAGCAACGGTTCCCGATCGCCGTATGTTAAGTGACGTATCTCGGGTATGACCATTACGACCGGCAGGAACAGGTAACTTAGCTGCGGCGACGGCAGCAGCTCTATTGGAATTTGCATTGACTATAGGTGCGCGTGATCGTGGAGGCGAATTTTGCGTTGCCTGTACCGTCTGGGCGGGTTGCGACGCCGCAGGTGTAGGTTGAGGTAGATAGACGTGGCGTTGGGGAAGGTGGCTTTGGCCATCATGTCCCGTTCCTGGCCCAGATCCAGCAGGAGCAGGTTGGCTATTATTGAGCCCGTTGCTTGTGACCCAAGCTTGCATTTTCGTCTTTGAATGCTTCAGGAACTGGCTGGCTGGCGGCATCTGAACAGAGGCAGATTTGCTAATATTTCGGAAAGAAAGACACATAAGCTAAGTTTGTTTACTTTTCGTAAGCTCTGTCTATATCCGTTACGCGTTCAATGGCTGTAAATCTTTCGTGGTCCCGATGTTGACGTGTTTGACCACGGATGGTAGTTGAATCGATCGGATGACAGGCGGAGAGGTCGAGCTTGATTATTATGTATTATGCCGCCATCCTGCCCAATGCGACGACGAGGTTGGGTCGCAATGTTTACTGGTGAGGCATGAGGATGACCTTGGAAAGGTCTAAATAGAGGGCGAAAGACGGCGGTCCAATAGTTGAGATGGTGAAATGGCAGAATGGTCGACTGGTGGGGGAATCACGGCAAGACCTTTTTTGATTTACTTCGTAGAAGCCTCGCGACTTCTCCTGCACGTAGTCGAGTCACTGTCGCGTCTGCAGTGTTCTAACGCCTTTCCGGGTTAGGTTCGAGTGGGGCTAAATTATGGGTCCGTGCATCCATGCTGCCATGCTAGCGCACGGGTCACCCCCGGATTCCTTTTTAGTACATCAACCCCCACGACTTATTCTCCCTTCCCCAATTACCTCAGACCATATCATTTATACCGTTTAAGAGGTCGCCTCACCTCGTTTCTGTTTTCTAGATGCCGCTAGATGACTTGTCCTGCATGACTTCTTTCACCATTTGTGTGATACCCGGCCACTTAGCTATCACGACGCGCCTATCTACCTGTTCGGAAGGAGCGCATTGAACGATTCTTCCCGATGCAATGCCACCTTGCTCGCGTCTAATTTCTCATGGCCGTTGGGCAGCAGACAAACATGTCATCCATGGCTTTTATTAAGGGCATTCAGGTTGCTTATTTTTAACCTCTCATCATCCTTCGCGGCAACGGAGCTCTCCACTCCTATTGCTCCTGTTCTATGTATATGCGATGCAAGCACGGAGTTCAGATAGCAGACGCTATGGAGTGACTTCATTTCCATTTACGTGGCTTCAGACCAATCGATCTATCGCGAGGCTAATTAAAGGCTAAGAAGAGGGTGTGTCTTTCCATCCAATGTTCCTTGGATTGTCCCGAGACCCAGGATTTCTCAAGCAACAGACTTTTTCATATACACAAGGTTCACTATAGTCCCAAGTGTTAGCAATTCTGAAATACGCCGAGACTTGAAAAGGACATGTGAGTTGTCAGGCTTGTTCCACGAGCCCCTGGCCCTTGATCAGGTCGAGAGGGGACGACAGCACATGCTTTGAAGTAACACAAAGGCCCCGAAACGGCTGAGATGTAACTTACTAGGCACACTGACTCCTTCCTGAGGGTTCCATATATATGCACCTTTCTCTCGTCGAAGTATCTCGTACCCTTGACTGGTATACCAGTCTTCATTGGAAACCTGCATCAACACGTTTTAGGAGTGCTACAACTTCTAACAATACTGCCACGACTTACCACTGGCGGAGGAAGACGTCCTTCCCCATATAGGAGGTCTCGTATCTCTGGTTCGGTCTGCATCTCCTTCGATAGGGTATCCAAAGCTACTATTTTTGCATTCATTGGGCTTCGCGTGGCTAGCGTCTCGATTTTGGACATGGCTCCGGCACCAAATCCACCTCCATGGAGTGCCCGCGAAATGTACAGTTGATGAACCCACACGGTCCCGGTAGCTGGAAGGCCGAGTTTGATGTCCTCGTCGGGTTCGTGGATATCGAGAGCAACATGACCAATAGGGATGAACTCCACCATGGTTGGCTGCCGCGGGACGAGCCGAACTGCTGCTGCTGTATCCCTCAATGGGCTTGCTTCCTTTGTACAAGTTCTTAGGTCATCCAGTATACTGGTCAAACAAGCAATTACAAGCATACCTTCGGATAGGCACTAGTGTGCTGCTCAAGTACATTTTCTCTATCCGGAAAAGCATCCGAAAGGAGCTAATCCATCAGCTACCACAAAGCTACCCAAAGAGGGGATTATAGAACTCACAACCCAGTAAAATATCTTTCCACCTTTCTGTGCCGCCTCTACCCACTATAAAGCCTGGAATTAGAAGTTGCCATTCACGGAAATTTTCGGATCACATTGCGCGATCTCAAGTCACAGGAACCGGCTCGGTAATCTATAACTCTCGGACGTGCCCGGAGGGTGTATATATGCTCTCGAATGGCAGCATGAAAAAAAAAATGTAACGAAGGATATTCTTACCGATGGTACTTCGTCAGCCCTCCACCCACAAGCAACACGTTGGTCATACATCCTCTGTACATGATCTGGGCTTGAGTGGTCCCAAGGGAGAAGCTACGTAGTATTCAAAACCGTTAGCATTTATTCTTGATATCGTGAGTATAGTAACCTAAGGTACACTATAATAGTAAGTAAATTGCCAAGGGCGAAGCGAACCTCTACTTTCCAAGCATGTTTAGACCCCATGATTACTAGGTGTATTAGTCGTGTGAGCCGAGTTTAAAGGCAAGGTGGTAGACAACGCTACACTCAGTTATGAACAAAGATAGATAGATATATGTCTAAGGGAACCAATTTTCAGATATGAGGTGGGCAAAGGCTTCAAATTCAACCTGAGCTGTCTTAATTTACACGAAGTCAAGATGATAGGTAAGACTTGTTTGTATACCGTCTGAGTCACTCCGATAATCGTATACCAAAGCCTGCATTTACGATAGAACTTCTTTACATAAGCGCCGGTATTATAACCACCGTCTTACACTTTTTCTCTAAAAGGTAGGTTAACAGAGAAAAAAGGGCTAACAAAGGCTAGTCCGACCTCGGGTGATGTAAAAGCGTTACGAACGGGCCACTTGCGCCCTTCTGAACTTTATCGTAACATTATATCAGATCTGATAACACCCCGCTAAAGCTACATAGGTTAGGTACCTAGGTACCTAATAGAATAGAGCTAACAAATGTTACTGCACGTAACCCCGACCTCTAGAAACCCAATTAGCTTCATACAATAAAGCAGCCAAGTTAATCTTATCCACACGACTTATTACAGTCCATGGGTCCAAAGCGTAAAAGCCGATCAGAACAGCAGAGCGAGGCATCCTCTTCGTCGCCTTCCAAACAACGCAAAGCCAATAATAATAATAATAAGGAGGAAGTGGAGATTTCCGCTTCTTCCGCCTCCTCTTCCAAGCCGCAAGACCGTAACCTCCACCATGGCTTCGAGACGTACCCTCCATCCCGGGTATTCCGACTAATAGAGCCCGGCCCCGTGCTTCTAGTCACGACGGGGTCGCTGGCCGACTCGACGCATAACGTCATGACCATCGGCTTCCACATGGTGATGCAGCACGAATCGCCGCCTCTCATCGGCATCTGTCTCGGGCCCTGGGATGCCTCGTTCGCCGCTCTCAAGAAGAAGCGCGAGTGCGTGCTCGCTGTGCCCGACGTAGCGATGGCCGGCGTAGTCGTCGATATTGGGAATTGCTCGGCCGACGATGAGGAAGAGCCCAGCGGCAAGTGGCAGCGCTTCGGGCTGGAAGCCTGCCCGGCTGCCAAGGTCAAGGCACCGCTCGTAGGCGGCGGCAATATCATTGCGAATATCGAGTGCGTGGTCGAAGACACTAAGCTGGTGAGCAAATACTCCATGTGGGTTCTAAAGCCCGTCAAGGCGTGGCTCAATCCGGACAAGAAGCCCGGAGAGGGTGGCCGCATGTTCCATCATCGCGGTGATGGCACGTTCGTCGTCGATGGCGAGATTCTCGACTTGAAGGATAGGATGATCAAATGGCAGGAATACCAAGATTAAATCATACATTAACGCACTCCCTAACTTTTTATTTAGTACCGACTACCTAAGTTCGTAATGACGAATTGACTCTAATCCTAATTTTTATTCTTCATAAACCATGTCCGCCTACTTCTTCTCTTCTTGCTCACTTTCAGCTGCGCTATTAACTATAGCAGTTGGAATCTCCGAGTTCTCCGAATTACTCTTCTTATCTTTTTCTTCCTCGCCCGGAGAGTTCCCCTGTGTCCCCAGCCGAATAAAAAAGGTCAATACCAAGCATGCCGCAGAGAACCCGATAGACATTTGGAATGTTCTGGTGAATTTCAGCATCGGATCGGCCATGCCTTCGGGCGTCAATTCCACCGAGCTATAAATTGCCGTCGAAATCCCCATCACGGCGGTATTAGCCAGGCGGATAACCACATTGAAAATGCCGCCCGCCAAGGATTGCTTATCTTTAGGTAACGACTGCATCACATACATCTAGTAAAGTCAGAATTGCCAAAATGTAAATCACAGGAGCGTAACTCACATTGCCCACGTTGAACTGAAGATCAGCACCAGCAACGATCAAAATGAGGGCTGGGAACATCAAGGCCCAGTAGCTAGTCTCTATCTTGATGAAAGAGAGCAACAAGTTGGCAGCGAGGTAGCATGTGGCACCGAAGATCATGATAACCGTGTTGTTAATGCGATGCAGTATGCGACCGGCAACTACGTTCCATAGCAGCCCAGCGATAGCCTGAGGAAGGAGATGAACGGCGACCATGAGGGTGGAGTACTGCTTAACTTCCTGCAAGAAAAAGGCTACCCAGAAACAACTGGCGGTAAAGCCCATGTTGCCGAGGGCAATAGTAGGGATGATCTACAGTTATTAGTATTAAGGAGGGCAAGTATCTCTGGATAAAAACTCACAAAGCTAAAGTTCCTGTCCTTCCAGATGAATGGAGGCATCAGGGGGTGAGGAAATACCCTTTCCCATAGGACGAAAATGACAAGCAGCGCGACGCCAACAACTAACATCGCAATCACATGCGCACTTGCCCAACCGTCTTCAGGACCCAGTCTGGATTCGTCAGTATTTGAGGCTCTAGGACTCCAAGGGTACCTACGTTAAACCCGCAGTAAACAAGCCTGTCCCAAAAATCGTCAGAGTCGTACCGACAATATCGAATTGCTTCAGCGCTTTTAGGCGTTCTTTCAGAGGAGCTCGATCGAAATTCTCGACATTAGGTACTGCCCAAATCGCATGAAGGGTGAAAAGGGCCCAGATAACGCATAGGACGATAAAGGCAGCACGCCAGTTGCTCAGTTGAGTAACAATGCCGCAGATGATAGTACCAAACACGAATCCTAAGGGGTTTCCAGCACTGAATGCCGAAAATGCCCAGTTCTTCCGTTTCGAAGGGGTGGCGTAGGCCGCGCCCAGTATACCTATGGCCGGAGGAACAACCATAGCCGAGCAAGCACCGAGGATACCGCAGACAATCAACATCCAGAAGGGATTTTGGGAGAAAGCCACCAGCAACACGAATCCACTGAAACTGGCCAGACCAGCTATGAACATGGGTTTTCTCCCCAGCAAGTCGGCTAGCTGCCCCAAGGCAAGCTGGAGAGCACCAGCCACAAGTCTATAATAATAACAAGTTAGTGATATATAAAAACTAAGTACCTACTTAGTTAAGGATTTAGAAAGACATTCTATACGTACGACGTCGATGCGCTGATCCATGCTATTTCACCCTGTGTCATACCCAAGTCGCGAGAGACGGGAACTGTGATAACTAGAGCAACACCGGATAGGAAAGATGTTGTGGCGGTTGCGATGGTAGCTTGGAAGATGAAGGATATCTCTTGGAATGTGTTCTTAAAGCACTCCGGTCGATCTCCAAACTTCGATTTGATCCTCTCAAGCGCCGACATAGCATGCTCCTCGTCGCCGTTCGTAGCGCGAACGCTCCCACTAGAGGTGGAGCTATTAGCTGCCGCATCTATATCTTGCCCGGGTTTCGCTGGGTTGAGAGACATCTCGATGGTTTCTGGGGTTTGTCCAGATGGCGCCGCCATTATGTACAGATATCTTGTGAATTAGACCTCTAGAAGGCTATTCATCCAAGTCAATGAAGCGCCGTGTTGAGCTTCATGGGCTGTAGCGGAAATATGTCAAAGGTAACAATAATTGTTACTCAAGAATGGGTGTATTAGCGCACAATGATTAGGTATATATGTGGCAATAATAGTTGTTAGAGCCCGCTTATTACCTGATATATGTACCTACGCATTCCATCCCTCGGAATAAGAACATACAAGGAATAAACCCGATGCCTATGGAGATACGCTTCGTAAGTATTCACATGATGTGGGTTTTTTTGTCCTACAAGAAAGACATGTTTATATATTAAGAAACTACTACACCCATAATGGATAAGCTTGACTCAGGTCCACACTGAGTCTAGTCCTGTTCAAATTATCGTCTTCACACCGTCAGGAGCAACGAGGTTCGCGATTGCCCAAATAGGGGCCAGATTATCAGTCATGCCATTCTCCCACATCCCACATCCCACATTCCCCCGTTCTCGGCGCCCTATTGGCCAAGCCTTTTTTAGAGCCGACGCAATGGGACCCGCTAAGGGCCCTAGCACGGACCAGAATCGGCAACGGAAGCGGGATCGGACCTCACTACGGATTAATAAAATAGGTACTTGACAGTCTTTAAGGCAAGAACGACACAGGCACATTATTTACTTAAGTCTAATCCGCTGACTTCTTTACACCGTTCCTAAAATAATAATATTTTTTCTAATCTTTTAAACGTTGTGATTTATTGATATAACTAAGGTTATAACTAAGGGGAGTGAATGTATGCCTTTGTCACGCTCACAACTTCAGGACGTGGATAGTTACACGTGTAACTATGTGGAAAATAACTTAACTTATTCACGACTTCAGGCAAACTGTGCACGTGCTCGAAATCGAATGCATGATGACTTCATGAATCGATATATCAAAAGTCGGTAAACTAAAACAACATAGGTTGTTTCAAGTGCTTACACTCTCCTTACGTGTATGACAATCAAAACATACCTAAAGGCTAACACGAACGGAAGCCACCACGTACAGAATAGCATACAAACACGTTTCGTGCTCCTTGACATGGCACACAGCGCCGGTGGCACTGGATCGAGTTCACAACTTTGGTCGATGCTACCTAATTGTTCCTCGTACAAAGAGCTAACTTTGCGCGACGACATACCTTGGTACTGACAAACATTGCAGGTTACATGGCAGTGTTTAATATGCCAGTGCTACGCAGAAGTCGAAAGAAGGTATCACGAAGTAGATCTAGAAGGTATGGAATCAACTTTGCTGTTTCGCAAAGAACTCTAAATCTAGACTATACACAGTGAGAATATCCATTGTCCTAGATGTCTCATCTAGGATCATAACAGGGGGGGCAATCCGAGACACAAAGTCTCTCCCATTTAAAGAATATTTAGGTACCTTTGCCGAAGCCTAGCTTTACGATGGTGAGGATTACTTGAACTTGAAAGCGAGTGCTATCGAATAGAATCACGATACCTACACAGTATTAACACTATCCATCCATTTGTAATGGGACTCTTGACATAACTCAACAATTAGGTACTTAATATTAGAACACTACCACGTTCCTTATAATAAGATGTGTATAACTATTCTAATAATCGGTCTCTTGCTATTTCTCTGGTAGGGTAGTTGTGATCATTCTATATGGTAAACAACCCCCTTATTCAACCCCCCCTATTAGCACCGGTCGCGTCTGCAGGCCACCTTTGGATTTTATAATTGTGGAGGCCCACCAAGCGATGACGACGACGTAGTTGTATAGAGTATTGAAGTTAGGTCGAATGATCATTAATTTACAGCTTCATCCCAGAATGCTATTATAATCCCTTTCCCCTTCCACCCATATTATGTAGTTCTCTTATTTTCGGGTTTAGAAACACGTGCTAGACTTCCACGTCTATCTCCTCGCATACCTACTAGGTATTTATAACATCGCCGAGTAAAAGGATCTTCTAGGCTGTATAGGTAGTTTATTAGTTTATATATACATGGGACGGGTAGCTATTAATCATGTGCGGCCTTGGTAAGGCTACTAGTATCTACGTCAAAATGTCTCGCTTGTATATAATAGGTATGCTATAAAGATCCGATGTGTGATAAGATCTTTGCGCGCAATATAATACATGTACTTAGCTTAAGACTCAAGTTGGATATATATCCAAACCTAGGCACATGATTGAATCGTCTGGGGAGAGGAGGCGATGAAATCGCCTAGGCAATTGACTAAAGCAACTAACCGCTTCAGCGCCCCATTGGCAAGAGACCAAAAACTTATAAGCAAACACCGTTGATCAATCTCGCTAATATAAAGATTATTGCATCAGCTGACCTAATAATTCATGCCGGTAGCCTTCGGGGAATATGTTTAGCTGAGATTTGCGTACGCTTCATAGAGTTTCGTTTGGTAGGCGGAGCATCGCACTCTTGATGGTCTCTCGTGCTCTGGTGAGAGTATTCTGGAAAGGAATCATGACCGATGGAGGACGCTACGTAAAGCCTCAGGGGCGCTGGCAGGAAGGTCCCCGTTACAGGCAGAGTTGACTTTCTACGTACATATTTGAATATAGGTATATATATATATCTAACGTGGCAATTCTAAATCATGTCCGTGGGCTTCTCAGGAAGTTCACAACTCCTCCGCAGTAACTAACAAGACTATCTAATCTATTACATTCCTCTGCTTGGTGTTTCTTCCATTCCGACAGCGCGCTCATTAGGGTATCACTCGCCAGGATCAAATCGAAATGTAGACGCAAGAAGACAGCCATCCAGGCTTGGGTGAGCTCGTAGTCACGACGTGCCACAAGGCGGCTGGTCATGGCGTGGATGAAATGAAGCAGCTCGTTGGATTCATCATCATCCCCAGTTGTTAGAGAGCGCAATTCTAGGTCCGCCGTAGCCGGAGGAAGAGACTTAAGATGCTCGATGAATTCGGTAACTGGTTAAAATTAGCTTACAAATATAATGATATAGGGAATATAGGCAATGGCTCTTACAATTTCCAGAAGTAGCTCCCGCTTGCAGTTTATTCGTGAATATTTGCTCTGCCCTGTTCCGATCGAAACGGGTAATCCTAGATTGACTCTGAGCTTGGTCCGTGTTCGGCTGGGCTGCGTCTAGATTTGACGCGCCGTTGTTGGTTGCTGATGGCAAGAAGAAAGGCGCTTTTTCTGGAGCTTTTGGAGCTTCCGTCGGTTTGTTCCTCTGTTTAATCAAGTCCAAGTGTAATAGTGTTTGCCATCTGCTTCGCGGAACCAGACTTAATGTCATCATATCGGCACTGAGCTGATCCACGCCAGGTGCAGTGATTTCATCATCTTCTTGAGAGGCTGCCTCTTCAAAAGCTGCTTCGAGTAAGCCCTGGCCTCCCTCTCCTGACGCCGTTGGTCCCGATATCTGCTTGATTGAATCTTCGGATATTTGTCGGGTTGGAACGTGTGTGAAGAGAGCCTTGTTATTCCATATGTCAACACCCAACTCCCCCTCAGTGGCTGCAGCCAAATATTCCCCTGTTGCCGAGAAGGCTAGCGCGGTGCAAGGTTTCTCTAATCGAATAGCATCAATTAAGTGACCTGTCGGGAGATCCCAAACTCGTATTATAGCATCCTGAGACGCTGCTACTATCCAGCGGCCATCGTTAGAGAAAATGAAGTCGTTGATTTTGCCCTGGCATCCCCAGAATTCACGAATGGTTTGTTTCGTCTCAATATCTACGACCCGAATAGAGTTGTCATCACAGGAAAAAGCTATGAGATCATTTGCAGCATGGTAGCGGCAGCCTATGATTCCTGTCATCGGAGCCCAGTTGATTTCCTCAAGCAGATTTCCTGTGAGGAACTCCCAGAATTTTACTTTGCCGTCCAAGGAGCAGCTAATCACGTATTTGTTCATTGAATCGACAACAATCCCGGTGACTGCTTTCGTATGCTTCCCAACTCCTGGCGCAAAACCAGTTGCGGATCGAGCTTGAAGCTGAACGACGGTATCCGCTTGTCTTAACTGCTGCATTTTGACTTGTCTTGCCTGTGCCGGTGTGAGCTTGGATGGAAATCGTTGGCGGTGTAGTCCTGATTGAAGGTTAAACATATCAATAGACCCGCCAATAGACCCAACGACAGCAAAGGTCCCACAGGGGCTCATAGCCACTGATGATACGTTTGCGCCGTCACCGGTTTGGAATGCCCATCTTCCAGCTCTTTTTCGGCCCCAAAACCAGGTTCGAACGAACGGATCGTTCTTGTGTGCCGTAACCACGCTCTCCCAACCCGTCATACCGCTAATCTCGGCATCTATGGGCTTCTTTTGGGTTTGAGATTTTTGCCACAACACCTGCTTCCCGGGCAAGGCACCCATACCGCCATCCCTATTTAAAGAACATGCTATGCATGTGATCTCCGGCGCCTTTAAGTCATCGAGTGTGGTAGTTGGACCACGGCTTAGGGTGCTGCTGTCTAGAATCCCGTATTTCTTGGCCTTCTTGCGTATATTGCCCTGACTCAATTCTGTGCTTTGACCGTCTCGACGAAGACTCCAGCCCCAGAGACTCCTATCCCTACCACCACTAAGAAGCCATTTGTTACCTGCTTCAGCACCTTCAAAATCGGTCGGCAAGAACTGCAAACTGGTGACTGGTGCAGCATGGCCACTCCTCGTGTGTAGTATTCGTGGTATGGGCGAAAATGGAGTCTCATCGAATATCCAAGTCTTTAAGGAATTGTCTCTGCCACTGGTGACGATGACGGGCTGGCCGGCAAGGAACTCAATTTTGCTTACACCCCCACGAATCGATGCCCCCTCTTGCAATGGGGGGTTATGAGCGCTTCTAAGGATACCCATAATCCTACCACCCTGGTTAAGATCCCAAAAAGTGATATCGCCGCTCGACTGCGTAGCTGTCGCCATAACACCATCTTTGCGCCCATCCTGGCCTGCGCCCATACCGTCCGTGCGAAACGAAATGC